CCCAAGGCATGTAAACTTGTCGACGGAACGTTTTGGTGTGATTGAGAATCGGGTTTTTACATCCAAGAGGAAGTATACGTTTTGTACTGACTACACGGTCGTAACGTTTCAATTCATCCTCCAATATGCCATTAGCTATGCAAGTGAATACCTGACAATACAACTTTCGTGGCAGGATTGACTAGAGGTTCAATATAAATAAAACGACCAGCAACAGAGGTTACAAACTTCATTAACCGATTTCACTGACAGAATCTAAGAAAATGATAACACTCCCGTTTGCACGGGATGCTGCCACTACAGATTCAGGTCCGACCGTATCAGACATAGCCTCTGCATATATAGCTTTCGATTTTAACTTCAACTGACCCGCATTTGACAACGTGTTCGAGTCAAACCCGTAGAGGGCTTGCCACGTGTCCCGGCCACATGTATGGCTCGCCGAGATGGCGGCCATATTGAATGCACGTAATCGATCGCGGGTCTGAAAAAAACACGGTAACGAAAACGCCTCAAAAGACTCTTCAATAAAGACAAAAACACACAAAACCGTAACGACAAGAACCCTCCAAAAATACTTAAAGTGAAAATAAAACTCACTTTGAACCAGCCAAACCACGTGTGTATGCAAATTACATAACATACATACATTTCTGATATGTATTACTCAAGTACTAATTAAAATAACTTTGCACATTTCAGAGTTTACAATTTTGTTGCTTAAATATGTGAATTATATACATCAGTGTACAGGTATTTTGATATGATTTAAGTACATTAAAACGATTGATATCGACTCTCGAAAAGATTGCAACAATTTCATGTACAGTAAAAAGCGTTTGATCTATTAATTGTTAATAATGAAGTTTAACAAAAGTAAATATAGTGCGATATAAAAATATTGTTCATAAATGTCTTTTATATTTTAAAATCGTACAGGTAATGATTGCTTTTTATGTTATATCATTAGCGAACAGAAGATGATCACGGTCTCCTACCATGTCGGCCGCGGCGATGGCGCTGTTTCCGCAGAAATGAACGTTTCAACGGAATTATGCAGTAGGTGAAACTTGAATTCGGGCGTTATTCTTGTCCTCACTCTTGTTTTGAAGTACTGTATTACATCGGTTGGCTCTATTTCTTTTACCTTGTTATAACGTATGAAGTGTGTGCCTACTTTAACGGTATTTAGCAAGTAACATGATAGTAGTCAATTGATGTACTGATGAAGTACGTTTTTCTCTGGGTGGCCAATACCAGTGAATAGGAATTAAATCTATTTCAAGCAGTACTGAGATTACATCGTTAAGTATTTTAAACAAAGATAACAGACCATGACACACTAAAAAATGTGCATCAGGTCATCTTTAACATTGCAGTACAGACATTTGTCAAAATTACGAATGTGCTGCATAAGAATCTATAAAATTTGGTTTGATATTTGGCGGAAAGGACATAATATCTTTCCAAACTATGCCATGAAGTGGATCTTGATGGTAATATTTCCTATGGATAGTAGAAATTTATGGAGTGTGTCCTTCTCAAGTTTGTATAGAGGATATTTTAAAAACAAACCCAGGTCTTCATCTCTCTATATAATTTCACAATAATGTGCAATTTCGGGTCACCCGACTTAAGTCCGTCATTAGGTGAATGGTTCAATTTTAACGGATCTACTCTTTTTACCACATCAAGTGCAGCTATATTTATAATTCGCCTTGAATATATTGGTACAGGGTAGTGAATGTATTCGGGGTCTAAACAGCCACTGCCATTTACCAAGTCCCAAATCATCGTAATACCGGTTTCAGTGAAGTGCAACAGTTTCAACGGTGTTTGTTGTAAGTGATGTAAAATCAGCGGGTTTTGAAAAAGAGGTTCTTGGCAGATCTTGTTAAAAGTGTCTGGCCTACAGATTTCTGGGTTATTTGTACTGGATGCCATAATATGCGCAACAAGTCGCGATAACACATTGAAATATTAGTGGTAGTTTCTTTAAGGTTGATTACAAATATTTATTTGTCATAATTAAGTTTTTTTATCTGGTGCAGGAAATAATTGATGAGAGTGAAGCAGGGGGTGGTTAAGACCAGAGTATAAATATCGTTGAATGTAATTCAGACGATAACAAGAGATGTGAATATGTGAGTTAATCAGTCCTTGGCCACCCTCCCTGAGCGGGAGATAAACAATTTCTTTACGCATCCAGCGACGCTCATTCCAAAAAAAACCTTGTTGGGAGGACATAGGAAAACAAATTTATTAATCAGTTTAGACGCAATAATCTGGTTAACAAGAGTGCGCCCTCTGTGTGACATCATGGGTGCAAATTTGTCCCACCACTCAAGTTTGGCTCTGGTATTGTTGACCATGTCTATCCAGTTTTTATCAAAAAATACTGGGTTATTTTCTTTATATGTGGGAGAACCTTTAAACCTTGAATGTTCCAGCTGATGTTAAGTGAAGTATCTGTGCGTGATTTCCACCCAACAATCCATAAAACCTGGGATTTGATATAGTTTATGCAAGCATTACTTGCATTTTCATATACTCAGTTTATGAAAATCACTGTTGTTTGTTATAAAAAAGCTAATGTCATCAGCATATGCCGAAAGATGGATTCCCTTGTCACCAGATACCTGGTTCACACGTAACATTTACGCCGTTGTAACACCGCCGTATGTTTACAGACGGTGTTATTTTTACCGTGTGATCAGTTTACGCCGATGTAAAAATGGCGGATTTTATACCGGCGTAAACTGTTTGACCAGAGTCCGCCCTCGGACCTAAATTTTGAACAAAGGTTCGTGTGAACACGCACAGTGGCAAAAACAGTGAAACAAACACACTATATCGGGAATTCGTGTCTAAGTCCATCATGATAGAAACAATATGACAACGAGTGATACACGTACCGCTCTGGTCAGTGAAACGAGAGGTCGCGGAAATAATTGGATAACAATGAAGTCCGGCTACTGATTTGTTTTTGGCAAGGGAAAAGTATTTTTAGATTAATACACACTACCTTCCGTGATAACTAGGTTTACAGGATTATTGCACAAAAAGACAAGGAATTGGGGCGGGATAAACCCGCAAGTCAAAATTCAAGGAAGTAATTGACAATAATAACCGTAATGGTAGGGTACGAATATGTTCAAACACGGATCTAACTACAGAGAGCGTGCTATACAGGCCTAACATTGAAATTACGCCGTTGTTTTAATGTCGTGTGATCGCAAACGAAATACACCGTTGTAGAGTCAATGCGAAAACTGATGTTCTCACTGGCACTACAACGGTGTATTTCTAATCTGTGTAAACCAGTTATATGTCTGACTCGTATCTTAATACTTTGAATTTGACTTGTTCTTATGTTATGAGTAGGAGTGGTTCTACGACAATGGTGTACAGCTGACCAGACAGAGAGCAACCTTGGCGAATACCTTGCGAGGGTGTCATTCACCCGTACCAGACTTTGTGTCTCAGAACAAATCAACTGAATGTTTTTAAATAAAATTACATGTACTACCAAAACCAACTGACTGTACGTAGTGATTCGAATATTAAATAATCATGGTGAACCCGATCAAAAGCCTTTTGTTGGTCCAGTACTACAACTGCGTGTTGGTGAGATTTGAGTACAAGCACAAGATTTATATTTTCAATTATTTGTCTACCGGGTATGCAGTATGATTGGTCTATGATTTCGGAAAGTGTATGTTTTAGTCTGTTGAGTGAAATAGTCAGGATTTTATAATCAGAGTATAGAAGACTTGTATGTATGGTGTTTGTCAGGCCCTTAGCCAGCACTTTTGAATTATTTAAAACAATAATAAATTAGATGGAAAACGAGCAAATTTTTGAATTTTAAAGGCGAATTCCTTGGCATCTTAGATCTCTGTTACAGACATTTTTATGTTCTCAGTTTTAAATTCAATTGGCGTACTTTGTGTTACGTTGTTACGTTATTACACGTAACAACTTTTTTTTCAAAACTGTCTACAATTATTCGTTTTAGTATTAGTCAACAGTATGTGATTTTTTGATTCACTGTAAATCTGTTTCTGAGGGGAACGGTAAAATAATATGCATAAAATGATATTTTAACAGCGGTCTCCACAGACTACAATGAAAACACATTTCATTTTTAAGAACCCACTAAAAATATTACCAACTTTCAGACCCCAAAAAGTAACCATATGTCACCGAGCAAAGTTTTGGGATATATCTTTGCCATAAAAACAATGTAATATGTCCTAAAACAGACAAAACATGCTAGCTTCACTGTATTTTATTGATCGATTTTCTGGGTATGGTGTTCCCATATTTGCATTTAATTTCGTTATACTTGTACATGATATATAGAGTATGTAAAGATAAAGAGATTGACACTACACTCACTTTGAAGATTCATCCTCCTTGTGTGTAACTTTGTGAACGTATCCACAACACGATCAAGATCGATTCGCGATGAATGTGGAGTAAAGCTAGCGATGTAAATCTCTTTCATTGTATGTATTCAACTTTCTCAAGGAGGAGAAACTGCGCTCACACTTACAGCTTGTCACTGCTGTGTTCGCATCTATTTGTAGTAAAACACATGTGTTGGGAAAGAATTATTCATCCCATACTTTCAGTGCTGAAACAACACACTGGAGTAAATTGTTGACACAACTGATGATTTTGGGCTGCAAGTGCCTCACATCGTACGTCTGTTTGACCTTTGCAGGTTTTCAGTATAGAAACAAAAGTATGAATAGATTTGGGTGATCACATCGCAACCGAAGTCGACGGATGCTTGACGAGTGCTATATTCGTATTGAAAAGTGTTGGGCTGTCACGGTGATGGAAAAAATACGCGATCGATCAACCCTGTTCGATCCCCACACTGAACTAAATGAGCAAACACTCGTACCAAACAAATAGCCCTTTTCAGGGCCACCACATCCTTCAGAGAAAGACTATCGTTACATTTGTGCTTGTAAATGTTGTTTAAATATGCTTACCCTGTTTGAATGCGACCTTCGTTACACCATCGCGGAATAAAAGCTTGACCATTTATATATATAAACTTTTTGATTGACAGCTGCTTAGTCTCTCAGCTCAGTACCAGGCAATCAATGTAAACGATGATAATTATTCAAATTATTACTGTTTTTTTTTAATATGTACTATTCTACGTTCATAATTGCATTCATTTCCACCCTCCCCCAAATACGGGCCTGGTAAATGTGATTGTGAAATACGAAATACTATACATTGGTGGCGTGCCTAAATGTGTGCAAAGGTAATAGCCCAATACATTGGAATATTAACTCGAACTCAAAGTGTTAAGAATGAAAAAAAGATATAACGCATGGGAAAGTATCATGAACCCGACGGAGCCGAAATAGTATCGATATTTTTTACGATTACATTGAAAAGACATGCAGTGAATTAGGAGTGTTTAATCTTATGACAACCCTGCATAAGCCATCATTGGGGTACGCCGGCCATACCCAGGGAAACTAGCTTAGAGTTGTCCCATATTATTACTGCCGCGCCGCGGTGAGGGGACTAAGTGATGGTGTCACATCTGTCATTTTCAATGTGTAGACCTGTCTCACAGTACATTAACGATCGAGGTGATTAGATTCAAACCAAACACTATGTGCAGACATAGTACCTATATTCTCTTTCCTCTAGAGGGACTTTATTTGGGACTGTTTAAAGATTTCTTTAGAATATTGTTATTCGTATTATGGAGTCCTCCCAGCAAAAAAACCTCCAGTATTAATTACATTAAAACAAGTTAGTAGCTGATACGGTTATTGTTTGTAAAACCGTCTGGAATTCTAGAAATCCCACTTAAATGTGGTGCTTGAATTCGCCGTAGACTAAAATTACAGACCTCATTTACTTTACTTTTTCACTCAACGTGACATGATATTCTTAGTGATCGCTTGTATGTGAGAATCCGGTAGCCAATTATTATCAAGGGTCACAGGAACATTTCATCCTTTCAACGTCACTTAAGTTGACAATGGTCGGATTGCCGTTTCTAGACAAACATATTAGTCGTGTCTATTTTAGTTTTACCTTCGGCGACAGTTAGAAAAAACTAAAGGTGTGTCCATGTGTTCGGAATAGACGTTTATATCGCCCTCATTCGTTAAGATTTTTAGGCGTTGTGATTGGTGGTTATTTATAGCCCACGATGACAGGCATTATAATACACTTCCGTGTTTCTTAGTTCGCGCATACTCTACTGGTCTCCTTATTGTGTGCTTAAATAACCTCATCGGAGGCAACCCCAGTGGTACCGTTTAGATAGGTAGGTATTTAGGGTTTCCCTACTATCGAGGGTGTTATTCATTTAGTGTAAAATGACGGTCAATTCATACAAATTAAGCTTGTTCGTTGTCCGATTTCTCAACATGGCTACTGTGCAAACTAGTGTCTTGCTGTACATTACATTTGTATAGGGTGAGATCACTGTGAAATCGTACACCCAATGTTGAATTAATCATAATTCGTATTATGAGTGTACATATATATTTGGATTTTACTCTGATCCAAACACCCGTTTTAATATTATGAGCAATCCGTTTGACTGCGGCGATGGTAAACGCACTGGGTGGCAGATTGATTGTAGGGACGTTTAGTACGTACGCTTGACTATGACGAATGAACGACCTTCAAAGCTCCATTGATAATCAACTATCATTTGCAGTATTCGTCATCGCTTACCCAGTTGATTTGTTGTCTTCATCCATAATACAAAACTTACTCAAATTGACTATTAATATTTAATATTGCAATTAGCTTAATTAAATAATTATTCAATTTATCTATTAAACTACCCATCTCTGTAATATTATGATATTATATTACAGGGAATAAAAATGTCTATTCAGATGCAAAACAATATTTTTTGTGTTGTCTACTTGACTATGAAACACATTATGTTGTTCCCACACAGTTAATTAGATTTCATGTTGTGGGCAATTAAGCGAAAATAATCATCATCCTAATTAATAGAACACTGATGTAGATTTTGGTAATTATATTCATGAAAAGTTAATAGAATGCTGTGATGTAGTATTTGGTAATTACTCCAATGTATAAGAGATGCTCCATGCTAAATTCAGACTGCTGAAACATAACTGTAGAAAAAAGTCATTAAACTACAGACAGCATAATCCTGAATGGTTTTCATGCTCCACTCAAGTAGAAATATTATAATTTTATTTGTGAATGAACGAAAAGATAATAGTAATAATAGTTTCATATCTATCCAACCACTGTAACTGTATCTGTATTTTGATCCCCAAGCAGTGTTTTATTTATTTATTTATTTATTTATTTATTTATTTATTTATTTATTTATTTATTTATTTATTTATTTATTTATTTATTTATTTATTTATTTATTTATTTATTTATTTATTTATTTATTTATTTATTTATTTATTCTGCATCTGATTTAACCGATTACTGACAATAATAATTACATTTTATGTGCATTCATTGCACTCTGGAAAGCTAAACATCTTATCTTCAGATGGTTTTCACAAACTGTTGTTATTATACTGTATGGCCTTTAGTGTTTGGTGGATTCACATAACCTGTAGTTGTATTTGTCCTATTTGCATATGTTTTAAGGGAGAATAAGTCACAGTTTAATGATTCATTATTTAATGCATACTGTTTTTGATTTGAAATTGAAGATGTGTTTCTAACAAAGCAAATATGGTTACTGTAACCTTTGGAGAAGTTTGCAGCACAAGTACAGAGTCTATACAAATATACAAACATGGTGTTATTTTGAATATGAATAATTTCTGTATCAATATTACATAATTTGAATTGCAATAATATCATGTGTAATTAGCATATCAATAATTTCCCATTGTCTCTCATAAATTAAAGCATTGAGGTACATTGGGATATTATGAAAATAAAACTAACCATAATTGGTAGAAAAATAATAATATTTAATTTGGATAGTGTTTTTTTTTCACAGTTAAGAAATAAATTATGAATATTGAGTAATTGTAAAAACATGAAAATATGACGATGTTCATTAATTATGACCCTGATACTGTGTCCTTCCTATCCCAATTAAACCATGCTAATTGAGTGATATTGACGTGTTTAAAATTTAACCTATTATTAGTAAATCAATGCAGTCGAAAATAAATACATGACATACAACACCTGTGACATAATATCTAATTAGAGTGTCCACCCATATCATGCAGATTGTTGGTTTGATTCATATGAATGTCTCAGCAGTGAAAATTATACCAT